ACCAAAGTAAACTCATACTTTAATTCCATTTTTTCTTGAAATGTTTGATGTCCCCAGGTCTGCCTCATCTTAGTGGGCACCATATAAGCTGTATCTTCAGCAATTTATGGGTACATAAGTTACAGAACTTTTTTTTTTTTTAGATTATCATAGGGTGCATGCTCTCACTGAAGAGAGACAGAGAGAGGGGGAAAGTGTGAAAGCACCCTCTAGGGATATGGCCACACAGCAATCCCTTCACCTCCTCTCTTCTCTTGGGATTTTAGGCATGCATGCACATGCACCTGACGTGATTTCAAGACGCCAGGTCCAGGATTCAAATGATAGAGTCAGCCATGGGGAAATCCATTGCCTTAACCACCATGCCACCTGCTGGCCCTTATAGAACTTTCTTAGATGCCAAGAAGGAGGCCCCCCTTCATTATCTCTATATGTGAGTGGACCATAGCAATGTTCCAGGATACATCCCTGTGTGTGCGTACATGTTACTGTTACTCTCGTAAATAACTAAACTCATTCAGCTTTGTTTTCTGGCAAAGCTCATAAAAAACAAACCACCCCTTCTCCTGAACACAAACTGTTCCTTTCCACCTTGCCTGGGGGATTTGGATTAGGGTTCCTGTGAGGGTCACAAATTATATTCCCAGTTTGAAAACTGCTGCTTTATTTCCCTTTTCTTTATGTAACCAATTACCATTTCACCTAATTTGCTCAAGTGTTTATATCTTTTTCTAACTGAGTTATTTTAGAAAGTTCCTTCTTTCTTAGGACATCTTGTTCATGTCCTCATTTTCGGGTCATGACACTGAAGTTCTGGGGGTATTTCCCCAGAAGACCAAACACCCAGGTTTGCCTCACACAGTCTGGCTTTATGACTGCTGTTCTGGCATGAGGTCACTCTTTTCACTCTCACAAGTGCCTGGGTTTGCATAATGAATTATACGGTTGTGAGGGTGTGCGGCCATATCTGTGTTCACCTCATCCTTGCTTCTGCGTCTCTCTTTTTTCTAACTTTCTTTTTTACAGGACCAAGCCCCAGGGTGAATGCTGACAGATTACCACCCAGAGAGATGATACTCTTAAGCTCTCTGGCAGACACCAACATATGGTCACTCTAAGTGACCAGAACCCAGCTGAATAATGGTGAACCACAATGGCCTCTCAGTCCACTGCCCCACTTTTAAGTTTAATTCTTCCCTGAGAAAGAGAGAGGCACTCCCAACAGAATGAGAGAGGTGCAATCCACCCCTAGCCTTAGCCAGCCTGGCTTACGGGTACACACATGCCCGTGTATACAGTGAGGCTCCAGGCCACAAGCCCGAAACCTTCCCATGTGGGGCCAATTGTGTTACAGCCACTCCTCCTCTGGCCCCTCTCTGCTCTTTGTGTTATACCTGTGATGGTCTGATTATTTGTGTCCCCTGAAAATTCATGTTGAAATACTAACCCCGAAGGTGATGGTATTAAGATGGGGAGGGGCATCCAACTCAGTAGTGCAGCCATACATAGAAAGCAGATCCCGCGTGACCAGTCATGGTTCAAATTCCAGCCCCTGCTACTTGAAAACTATGCCAGGCGTGTGTGTGTGTGTGTCCATGAATCTTCAAAAGTGGAGGAAAGGGGACAAGTTTTTCAGCTTTTTTTTTTTCTTGAGAGAGATTTTTGCTATAAGGCGCATGCACTCACCAGAGACAAGAGAGGCAGAAAGCAAGAAATCACCCCCTCCCCCCGCCAGGGGATGGCCACACTGCAATCCCTTCTCCTCCAATCTCCTCTCAGGATTTTGGGCATGCACACACATATGCCCAGCATTAGTTTTTAAGCCACCAGGTCTAGGACTTGAACTGCTGTCAACTATGTGGGAGTCCAGTGACATCACCATTACACCATCTGCTGGTCCCCAGTTTCTTTTTTAAGAGAGCTTTTTGCTATAGGGCATGTGCACTCACTGGAGAGACAGAGACAAAAAGCGAGAAATCATCCCCCCTCCTCAGGGGGATGGCTATGCCACAATCCCTCCTCTTCCCAGGATTTTGGGCATGCACGCACATGTGCCCCAGTGAGTTTCAAGTCATCAGGTCTGGGACTCAACTCGCAGTCAGCCACATGGGAGTCCAGCAACATAACTGACATCTGCTGGTCCTGAAGCTTTTCAGTTATCTTCTTTTGGAAGATGTCGCTGGACTAACATGGACCCTCTCACCCTCCTTTTGGAATCTTGACACATGAAGAAGATTCCCTACCAGAGGCCATCTGTGCAACTTCACCTCCCTCTAAGCTATGTTTGTGGCCAGAAGCTCGTGTAATGAAATTTCTAGGGTTGGAAGAACTTACAGCTAGCCCACCACAACCACACCTACCCGTTATCTGCCTGGGTGTCAGCTTTCATTGTATTATTTCATCCTCATGGCCTATGTTTTAACCATCTTCGTTCCGGCTAAAATTGTGACTGGATCTATAGTTTACCACCTATTCATGCACAAAGCCAATATTTCTACCCAGTGCTGTGGAAATCCAAAGCCTATTCTCTTTTTTTTTTTTTTTTTTTTTTGGGGGGTTTTTTTTTTTTTTTTTTTTTTTTTGAGAGGTTTTTTTGTTTGTTTGTTTTTTGTTTTTTGCTATAGGGCGCAAGTGCTCGCCAGAAAGACAGAGAGACAGAAAGCAAGAATTATCACCTCTCCCCAGGAGGGATGGCCACACCGCAATCTCTTCTCCTCCATTCTCCTGTCAGGATCTTGGGCACGCATGCACACTCAGCGTGAGTTTAAGCCACCAGGTTCAGGACTCAAACTGCAGTCGACTACATGGGAGTCCAGCAACATAGCCATTACACCAACTGCTGGTCCCAAAGCCTATTCTCTTAACCATGATTATTAAACTTCTGCTTGTTCTATCAGTTATTAAAAGATGACGTTAAGTCTTCCACTGATTGTGGATTTGTCAGTTTCTTCTTTGGTATCTGTCAAAGTCTGCTTTATGTATTTTCAGGCTGCTAGTAGGGCATACAAATTTGGAACTGTTCTTTCTTTTTTTATGATTATTTTATTTAACTTTATTTATTTACTTTAACTTGATCAGAGAGGGATAGAGCGAGAGAGAGAGAGAAAGTGAGAAAGCAAGCCACCAGGTCCGGGACTCAAACCACGGTCAGCCATGTAGGAGTCCAGCACCCTTAGCCACCACGCCACCTGCTGGCCCTTTCTTAATTTAATTTTATAATTATTTTACTTAACTTTATTTATTTAACTTGACCAGAGAGGGATAGAACGAGAGAGAGAGAAAGTGATAAAGCAAGTATTTATTTCTTTTATATCATTACGTCTCTCTTGATCTCTAAGAATGAGTCTTGCCTTAAGATCCAATTTGTCAGGACCAGCAGATGGTATAATGATCATGTCACTGGACTCCCATGCAGTCAACCACAGTTCAAGTCCTAGGCCTGGCAGCTTAAAACTCACACGTGGGGCCAGCAGGTGGCATCGTGATTAAGGATGCTGAACTCCCACATGGCTGACCATGGTTCAAGTTCCAGACCTGGCAGCTAGCTCTCTCTTTCTCCCCACTCTGGTCAATTAAAATTAAATTAAATTAAATTAAATTAAATGATGCTTAAAAAAAAAAATCATGCTGGGTGCATGTGCAAAAAGTCCCAAGAGGAGAATGGAGGAGGAATCATGGTATGGCCATGACCCCTGGGGGTGATTTCTCTTTCTTTTTTATTCTTTCTTTCTCTCCAGCAAGTGCATACACCCTGCAGCAGAAATCTTTCAAAAAAAAAAAAAAAAAAGATCCAATTTGTCCTATATAAATATTGCCACACCAGCTTGCTTTGGATTAGTCTTGCACAGCATGTTTTTTTTTAGAGATTTTTGCTACAGGGTGTGTGCACTCACCAGAGAGACAGAAAGCAAGCAATCCCTTCTCCATTCTCCTCTTGTGATCTTGGGTACACATGCACATGCATCTGGCATGAGTTTCAAGCCTCCAAGTCCGGGACTCAAACCATGGTCAGCCATGTGGGACTCCAGCAACATAACCATTATGCCATCTGCTGGTCCCCAGCATAGCACACATTTTCCATCCTTTTACCACCTCAATCACAGACCTGGGGCATCTTTCTCCTATAAACTTTTGTAGCTTCTTAGCCTATTTGCTAAATCATTGATACTTTTTAGTTCTAAAACATAAGACTGAGAGAAGAAATAAAGAAAAGGGGACCAGCAGGTAGCATGGTGGTTAAAGTGCTGGACGTTCCCACATGGTTCAAGTCCCAGATCTGGTGACTTGTTTTCTTGCTTCCCCTCTCTCTGTCTCTCTCTCTGGTCAAGTTAAAATAATGAATTGGGCCCAGCAGATGGCGTAATGGCTATGTTGCTAGACTCCCACATAGTTGACTGCGGATTGAGTCCCGGGCCCAGTAGCTTAAACTCATGCCAGGTGTGCGTGCGTGTGTGTATGCCTAAGATCCCGAGAGGCGAATGGAGGAGAAGGGATTGCGGTGTGGCCATCTCTCCTGGGGGATGATTTCTCGCTTTCTGTCTCTCTCTGTTTGTCTGGCAAGCGCACGTGCCCTATGGCAAAAATCTCTCCAAAAATAAAAAAAATAAAAAATGACAGAGAGAGACAGAGAGACAGAAAGCGAGAAATCATCCCCCGACGGGGATGGCCACACTGCAATCCCTTCTCCTCCATTCTCCTCTCAGGATCTTGGGCACACACACACGCGCCCGGCATGAGTTTAAACCACCAGGTCCAGGACTTGAATCACAGTCGACTACATGGGAGTTCAGTGACATAGCCATTATGCTAACTGCTAGTCCGAAATAATTCTTTTTTAAAAAAAGAAAAACAAGGAACTTTGGATGAGACTGAGCCCTGGGCCAAACCTCCAGGTTGACTTGCACCCCTTTTTAGGCAACTAATTTTCTCCATGAAAAAAGATTTCAGCTGGGTTTAGGTAAGTCAGTACATTTCATCAACATAATACCCACTCACGTAGGTTATGCCTAATAACAGGCCAAATTAGAATTGTTTATTCACAAATACTAATTGCACAAGTACTTTGTACGTATTGGTCATATTGTAAGTGGTGTCAGCCATTTTGAGTCAAACTATTTTATTGTCCAAGAGACTCCTGTGTTTACAGGAGACAGGCACTCTTGGCGTTCACTCCTCGGCACTCTGTGTGCTGACGTAGTCCTGAAGAAGTGCCTGCACCTCTGTCCGCCGGCTCATCTTGGTAGCCTTGCCCTGAAAGCGGCCTTTCTTCCCAGCTCCTTTGCCTTCCAGGACCTCAGCCACCCTGAAGGACAGAGACAAAGTCAGGAAAAAGATTAAAAAAAAAAAAAAAAAAGGAATAACCTTGAGTCTTTCTCTAGAGCCTAGGGGAAGAAGAAGAATAGACCACTTCTAAAAATCCTTAAAAATAGTTGCACACAGGGGTTAGCAGGTGGTGTAGTGGTTAAGACACTGGACCCCCACAAAGCCAACCAATGTTCAAGTACCAGACCTGGCAGTTTGAAACTCGTGCTGAGCACATGTGTGTGCATGCCCAAAATTCCAAGAGGAAAATGGAAGAGAAGAGACTGTAGCCTGACCACCCCCCAAGGAGTGATTTCTCACTTCCTTTCTCTCTCTCTCCAGCATACACATGCACCCTATAGGAAAAATCTCTGTTACCAAAAAAAAAAAAAATATATATATATATATATATACACACACACATACACATATATACGTGTATATATACATGTGCACAAAGACATATGTACCATATTCACTACAAAAGTGCATAGCTGGAGACGGTGTAAAGCCTGTCAATGGAGGCTAGACAAATTACGGTAGCCTTTGGGGGGCAGGGAAGCATACTGTAGGGATAAGGGGCTGCAGACGTGGGGAGCATCAGTGAGGCCAGCTGGTTGTGAGTGAGGAAGACGGGGACAGTGGCGAATGGCAGAGGCCTGTCCTAGCTGAGAAGGGCAGTGGCTGGCCATTGCTCAATTCCTCATAACTACTGCCATGTAGGGATGCAGGTCCTGATGCCACAATCCACCCCTCGCTCCGCCAGCCCAAATCGTGGGCACACCCACGCCAGCCATACTGAGAAGTTGGTCTCCCACCAGGAACTTACCCATGTGGGTAGGGTGTCTTGCATAGTGTGACATTTTACTGCTATGCCACCATCTGGCCCTCCCCCTAATTTTTTAAAAGAAATTTTTAAATTAAAGAAATATTTTTTAATGGCCACTGTGCATGTATACTCTTCAGAGACAAAGAGAAGAGAAGAGAGCAGGAGGAAATACTCCCCAATAGGGCATGGTCCATTTCTCCATCTTGTTGGGATTTAGGGCACGTATGTACACATGCCTGATGTGTTTTTAAATCTGCTGAAGCTGGATTTGCACCACAGTTGATAATGTGGGATCTGGATCAACCCTAAAGTTTATTTTTACTTCTTCCAGGAGAGGGCGAAAGAGCGAGAGAAAAGCACTCACAACAGAGTCCTCGTGTCATGGTCCTACCCCAAGTCAGCCTGTATTACAGGCATGCACACATGACTGGTGTATGTAGGGAGACATCAGGACACAAACCCACGACCTTCCCAAGCAACCCTGGCATTGTAGAGTATTGTATTACTGCTGTGCCAAAAATCTCATTTTATTTTATCTTATTTTTGGGGGGAGGGGTATTTTTTGTTTTTTGTTTTTGTTTTTGCTATAGGGCATGTGCGCTCACCAGAAAGACAGAGAGACAGAAAGTGAGAAATCACCACCACCGGGGGGGAGAGAGCCACACCACAATCCCTTCTCTCCATTCTCCTCTCGGGATCTTGGGCACACACGCACACGTGCCCAGCGTGAGTTTAAGCCACCAGGTCTGGGACTTGACTTGCAGTTGTCTACATGGGAATCCAGTGACATAGCCATTATGCCAACTGCTGGACCCAAAAACCTCATTTTAAATTGTAGCAATTTAGGGTCAGGAGATGTAGTAGCAGTCACTGGATTCTCACATGGTCAACTGCAGTTCGAGTTCCAGACCTGGTGGCATGAAATTCACACCAGATGTGGGGCCCTGCATCTGTCGGAGCAGAAATGATGGTGGTGATAATGATCTCTGCTGGGCCCACCTCACATGCCTGCAATGTGACTCAATGAGATCACAGACGTGATGGCCCCTGCAACTGGTAAGGGCTTATCAACAGGTTAGGCTTACAGGCTCTCCCACCCACATAAGAGAGTCAAAGAAGGATTACCTGGGCCCCAGGGTCTCCACGGCCTCAGCTGGCCCTGCCAGTAAGAAGAGCCCAGCACCTTTCTCATCACCAACAGTTAAGAACAGGAGTGTTTCCTGGGGGTAAAACAAGATGTGGGTCAACCCCCCAAAACCCTGTACCCTCTTCAGTCTCAAGAAAAGAAAGTTCCCCCTAAATCAGAGTGATGTTCCTGATGAATTAGGAGCAGCCCTTCCACTCTTGTCCCCAAAGGCTGAGAAACTTGAAAGTGATTATAGGAACAGAGGTTAAACATTTGAGGGAGGCAGAAGGCCGTGGACATGGCTAAGCATAGCATAAAACGCACTTTATGGTCTGACTCCTGCCACCTTCCCCCACCATGCACAGTGTGCCTGCCAGTCCCTAAACAAGTTTCCCTCTGCCTAGTCATCTCTGTCCCCTTGTCTGTCTAATGACCCATAAGCAACCTTCCAGGCCCCCTCCCCTGAAGCCTGGCTTCCCTTTCAGGTAATGTACTCCTCCACCTCCAGCACTATCACCCTAAATCATAAACACTGACACACACTTGTCTCCAAGGCCAGGCCCTCTGATACTTGTGAACCAGTAGTGCCTCCAGAGAAGACCTGGGAGAACATATTTGGCCTACCCTAGGCATTCTAAGAAAGGATTTTGGAGTAAATACAAAAGAGAGACATGGAACTATCTAAGCTACAAGTTGTCAGGATGGGGAAGGGCAAATGAAGCCAGAGGCAGAGAAAATGCACAAGACAGCCTTTAAAGGGCCTTGCCAGCCTCTGTTTCCAGTACCAGGTCAAATCCAGATGGCCTTGAGGAGCTAAAGCTCAGATAAAAGAAACTTGGAAGCTGAGAAACGTCATGGCCCAGAAAGAGCAATAGCATGGATCTATCTCAACACCTAAAACACAGCTTGGCTCACAGCTAGAAATAGTACTGGAGAAATTTCTACTCCCTGGGACCAGCAGATTGTATAATGGTTACGTTGCTAGACTCCCACGTAGTCAACTGCAGTTCAAGTCCCAGACCCAGCAGCTTAAAACTCACACCGGGCACATGTGCATGCATGCCCAAAATCCCAAAAGGAGAATGGAGAAGGGATTGCGATGTGGCCATTCCCCTGGGGGTGATTCCTCACTTTCTGTCTCTCTGTCTCTCCAGCGAGTGCACATGCCCTCTAGCAAAAATCACTCAAAAAAGAAAAGAAATTTCTACTCCCTCCTCTTCATGTCTTAACATGAAGAAATTTCAGCTAAACAAATGCCCCTCACTTATCTCTTTATCCTACGGTCTCTACCCAGGGCAGTTAGAGTTGCTCATGCCCCTCTTACCTCTGATCCAATTTCATTGGCAATGATATTCATAAACTCAGAATCACCCTCCTTCCTAAGACAAAGAACACAGACATGAGATCCAGGTTAGAGTGGTAGCTGGAAACTGCCAGAAGCCTGACCCCTCCTCATGAGGCTGGCCTTGCTGCCAGGAAACCTGCCAAGAGCTATCTGTGGGTACAGGTCCAGACTCCTTGGCAATGAGAAAGGTTTATTTCTGTCTTCCGTAATTAGGACTCACCAGCGTAGGTAGAGATCTGTTAAATGGTGATGGAGGCAAGGGACAGTGCTACGAAAGTTACAGCGAAGATGTTAAATCAAACCCAGGAAACCTGGCTGGTAACACACTTCTGAGGGCCTACTCAGCCTTGAGAATGCCAGTGAGCAACCCACTTCCCGATGCGCACTACACATGGAGGGAAAGCCAAGCCCAAGGCCCACCACAGCCGCTCCGCCTCATCTCCAGGTCCTGATTTCTCACCTGTGTAATACGACCACACCTCCCCAGTCTGAGCTGTTCCTGAGGCTGTGGGCAGTGTGCACAGCCAGGTCTCTGAGCAGGTTCAGGTTGTTCTGCAATAGATGCGGTAACTCAGTGACAGGCGGAAGGGCGACCACACAAGAGAACACCATCTTCCTTCCACCTCATTCTCCCATTTCCCCCTTCAATAAACTACACCTCTGCTCAAGTGGGGGGCAGAGTCTGAACAGCCTGTTCTGTGCAGCGTGCACACTCTCTCTACCCTCCATAGGAAACATCACCTTCTGCAGGAGCTTGGAGGAGTTCTGGAGCTTTTTCACTGCCTCCACGTGATCCTCTGCTCCACATCTATGAAAGAAAGGTCAGTGAAGCCCTGTCCAGCGTCCCAGCTGCTTCTGGCATTGAGGACATAAATCAATGTTATCCTCCTACTAGGGTGCCTCCCTTCAGATGGACCTGGGGATATTCTAGGGAGGCCACTTAGGTGACTGGGAAGAAGACCTAAAGGAATAAACCATTATGTTTGGGTCTGATTTTCTATCCAAAGCACTTTATTCTTTTTTTTTTTTTTTTAGAATTATTTTATTTCATTATTATTCTTTACTTTGACCAGAGAGAGAGAAGGAAGAGTGAGAAGGTAAGCCACCAAGTCCAGGACTCAAACCATGGTCAGCCATGATGTGGGAGTCTAGCACCTTAAACACCATGCCACCTGATGGCCCCCAACACTTCATTCTTTTTGAGGTCATCTTACCCCCAAGAGCTAAGAGATTATTCTGTCTATTTCAGGGGTAGGAGAGCTAAGCTCCAGGGTGTCTGGGAACTGAGAAACAGGAGCCAGCTGAAGGGGGCTTACTTAAGCAGAGCGGTCAGTGCCTTTTCAGTTCCATGACTTCTCTCCATCCACTTCAGGACTCGGTTCCCAGCCAGAAATACCAGGTTAGTTTTGTTCTTTTTCCCCTTCTCAGTGCCCAGAATCTTAATGACCTACAAAGGCAAAGGGGACACACACAGACATAGACATGTATGATCTTGGTGGGTCCTGGAACCTAAGGGCAAGAGACTGGACCTCCTTCTCAGCTCTGAAGTAACAAAGGAGATATTTCATTCGAGACTCAATTGCCCCCCTCTACCATTCCCAGCCCTGTGTGATCACCACTCCCATGACGCCCTTTTTCTCAATCACTCAGAAAACCCTTCTTCACCTACCTGAAGGTCACTGAGATTGCTCACATGGGTCCCACAGCACATGTTGGAATCAACACCCTTGATAGTAATAACTCGAATGGGCCCAGCATGATCATCTGGTAAACCCCGGGCCCTCACCTAGAATAGAGGGGAGGGAGAAGTGCTGTCTGAATTTTGATGAGAAGCCCTAGGGGAGTCATTTTACAGAAGACACCCACTGGCTCCTCCCTCACCTGCTCCACCTCAGGATCATCCAGGCTCAGTTCTCGCACATCCACAGGCAGCCGATCTCTGATTTTTTCATTGACATTTTGCTCAATGGTGGCTACCTGCTCTGCAGTCACAGAAGGGCTGTCCAGCTCAATCACACTCCGGAGTCTCCCCAACTCCCTACCAGAAGAAACAGAGTGGTCACAGGATGATGACAACAGTAAGAAATGTCCATACAAATCATCTTGTTTAATCCTCACAAAAATCCTGGAATGATAGGGACTGTCAGTCCCATTTTATAGGTAGGAGATATTGAGGGACCTGATCCAGGTCAAGCAGCCAGTGAGCAGTGGACCCAAAATTCACTCCCTAGATATGTGGACTCCAAATTCCATGCTTTTGCCTAAGCAGAGGCAGGTGCCTTCTCTCTCTTCTTTGTGTTTCTCCTAAGAAACACAAGGTCATCTCACCACCTAGTCTTCAAGGGAAACAGAATTCACAGCCAGTTTTTTTTTGTTTTGTTTTGTTTTTTTTTTTTTTGAGAGATTTTCACTGTAGGGCGCATGCGCTCGCCAGACAGACAGAGAGAGACATAGAGACAGAAAGCGAGAAATCACCCGCCAGGGGGGATGGTCACGCTGCAATCCCTTCTCCTCCATTCTCCTCTCGGGATCTTGGGCACGCACGCACACGCGCCCAGCGTGAGTTTTAAGCCACTGGGTCCGGGACACGAACCACGGTCGACTACGTGGGAGCCAGCGACATAGCCATTACGCTAACTGCTGGTTCCCAACCAGTTTTGAACACTACCTTTTCTTTCTTCCACTCCCCAAGCCTTTACTGGGGAGGGAGCTGGTCAGGGATCCACACCCTATAGTCTTATGCCTCCTGCTCACCATGATGTTGTCTTCAGCCCAAACAGATGGTCGGCAACTGCTGTGATAAGATGCTGCCCTGAACAAAAAGAGCAAGAGACAGGAGAAAAGTGAGAAGCCCAGACAGCCATCCACTCCCACCATGACAAAATCCCAGAAATTCTCCTTGAGAAAGACCCTCTAGGCACTGGATAATATACTTTGGACACTTTACTGAAAATTATCACAAGAATTCTTTAAAAGGTTTTATGGGGCCAGCAAATGGTGTGGAAGTTAAGGCGGCTGGATCCCACATAACCAACTTCACGGTTCATGTCCCAGACCTGGCAGCTTGAAAAACACACCAGTCTTAGGTATGCATATGCCCAACATCCCACAAAGAGAATGGAAAAGAGGAGACTGTGTTGTGGTGTTTTCTCATTTTCCATCTCTCTCACTCTCTCTGTCTCCACTGATCACATGTGCCTTATAGGGAAAAAAAGGGGGGGTGCTTTATGATGCCATCTCATACATGAGGAAACTGACGCTAGAGAAAGGAAACAGTTTGCCAGGCAATGTAGCTTATCAGAGGCAGAATCTGAACTGAAGTTCTAACGCTTCATTCAATCAGCCAGTATTTATTACCTACCACACACCCTGCAATGGGTTGGCATAAGGGATCACAACAGCACCCCTGATTAATAATGGTGATTATGGGGAGGAAGAGAAAAAAGTGGAAGAGGAGGAAAAAGAGAAGAAGGAAGAATTAACTGTAAAGGCACAGGGGAAAAGAGCCAAAGGCCTTGAGGAGGAAACGAAGGCCAGCATGATCAGGATGCAGAGTTTCAGGAGGAGGGGCCCCAAATAAGGCTGGAGCAGTAGCCAGAGCCAGCCCAGGTGTTTGACTTTATCCAAAGAACTGCAGGAAGCCTTATCCAAAGCTTCAGGCAGAGGCATGTCACTTGATCAGATTTTCCTTTTTGAAACATTTTTCTGGGGCCAGCCAGTGGCGTGGTGGTTAAGGCGACTGGATTTCAACTGGCCAACTGCACCATTCAAGTCCCAGGCCCCGCGGCTTGAAAAGCACAAGCACGTTAGGCAAAAATCCAAAAGGGAGAAATGGAGGAGAAGGGATTGCAGCATGATCATTCCCCATGAGCAGGTGAGGGAAACACTTTGTTACTTTACCTCTATCCAGCACACTCACCCTCTAGCAAAAAAAAAAAGAAAGAAAGAAAGAAAGAAAAGAAAAGAAAAAGAAAGAAAGAAAAGAAAAAAAAGATAGTTCCGATGCTGTGTGAAAAATGTCCTAGAGGGAACCAGCAGTTAGCGTAATGGCTATGTCGCTGGATTCCCACGTAGTCGACCGCGGCTCGTGTCCCGGACCCGGTGGCTTAAAACTCACGCCGGGCGCGTGTGCGTGCATGCCCAAGATCCCGAGAGGAGAATGGAGGAGAAGGGATTGCGGCGTGACCATCCCCCCTGGCGGGTGATTTCTCGCTTTCTGTCTCTATGTCTCTCTCTGTCTGGCGAGTGCACGCGCCCTACAGTGAAAATCTCTCCAAAAAGTAAAAAAAAAAAAAAAAAAGTAAAAAAAAAAAAAATGTCCTAGAGAGAGAGGACCAAGACTGAATGTGGGGCCACCAGCCAGAAGCTATTAGAAGTACATGAGAAAGACAGTGACAGCAGGGGCTAGGATGACTGGGTGACAGTGGAAGGAAGTGGAGAGATATAAGATAAACCAACAGGACTTAGTGACTGTGTGGCTATCCCCAAAAAGGTATCTAGAATGACTGCTAGGATTGGAGCAACCAGGAAGATGCTGATGTCCTGCGCTGAACACAGAGGACGCTAACGGAAGACCAGGTAGGAGAGGAGGTTTCTTCATGTCACCTGGGACATCTTGAGTGTGAAAAGCCTGGGAACCAGCAGTTGGCGTAATGGCTATGTCGTTGGACTCCCACATAGTTGACCGCAGTTCATGTCCCGGACCCGGTGGCTTAAAACTCACGCCGGGCGCGTGTGCGTGCGTGCCCAAGATCCCGAGAGGAGAATGGAGGAGAAGGGATTGCGGCGTGACCATCCCCCCTGGGGGGTGATTTCTCGCTTTCTGTCTCTATGTCTCTCTCTGTCTGTCTGGCGAGCGCACGCGCCCTACAGTGAAAATCTCTCAAAAAAAAAAAAAAAGCCTGTGACCCATCTAAATGGAGGCAATCAAGTGGGGAGTTGATAACAACTCAATCTAGCCGTCACTCTAATACTCTTACTTTACTAGTTAATTTACCACATCCCTCCTGAATCAGAGCTAATGCTGAACATGTCCGCATCTCCCAAAACGTTAACTATAGAGAGCCCAAACCACAACTCAATCACGACATTCCCATCCACGGCAACTATCGCCCCTGTCCGTCCCCCACCCAACCCCATTTACCTGAATGCTGCTGCATGTGGTCAAACCTCCGCTCCCAGTCCACCCGGACCTGGACCTGAGTCCCAGGAACCAAAGGTGTCTGTGTGAAATGATCAGCCTGGGCACCCCGGCGGGTCACTCTCAGCACAGAGATGTCATTGATTGTACCACGGTCATCAGGCTGGGGGAAAGAAGGAAAGCTAGTCGATGCTGGGGCAGGGCTCACCCTAAGTCCTAGACATAGACCTTCTAGGAAAAGTGTTGAAAGACCCAGAGAGCCCCTAAGAAAGAAGGGGGAGCAATGCCAGGTGAGGTGGCTTTTGTTCCATGAGAAAATTCTTCACTCTCTTTTCTCTGAATATTCTTCAAAACAGAAGAGAATTAAAACAGAAATGAAGAATTTAGTAAAACTTCAGGAACCTTAATCCTCACTCTCATTGTCTTAGATCCTAATCTTTAACAGTTTCTAAAATGATCTGAATTCTGCCCCATCCTCTGCACTGATACTAGAATTAGATGAAAAAATATTCATCTGAGCCAGCCCTAGGCCTGGTGGTTAAGGTGGCTGGATCCCACATGAATGACCACATGGTTTGAGTTCCAAATATAGCAGCTTAAGAAACAGACTAGGCATGAGTGCATGTGTGCCCAAAATCGCAAAAGGAGAGCAAAATGGAAGAGAAAGAATTGCAATGCTCATGCCCCAATGAGGGATGCTTTCCTTTCTCTCTCATTCTCTCATCTCTTTCTGAATGCACATAAATAAAAATTCATTTAGGGCCAGCAGGTAGTGTGGTGGTTAGGTGCTGGCTTGCAACATGGCTGACAGCAGTCCAAGTTTCAAAACTGGTGACTTGGCTTGAAAATCACATAGGGCACGCGTGCACACATGCCCAAAATCCCAAGAGGAGAATGAAGGAGAGGAGATTGTGGTGTGACTATCCCTCCAGGGGTGCTTTCTCACTTTCCCTCTCTGTCTCTCCAGTGGGAGTATAAGCCTTACGGCAAAAGAAACTTAAAAAAAAAAAAAAAAATTCATTCATTCATATAAAAAAGTACCAAATGCCAACTACTAACAAAATACTGTTACCAGCAACAAAATACAATGTATCAAGACATGACCCTTATGGAATGGGTCCCCAATCCACAGGCCACAGACTGCTACTGGTCTGTGGCTTATTCTAGGATCTGGGTTGCACGGCAGGGACCAAGCAAGCAAAGCTTCATCTGTATTTATAGCCACTCCCCATCACTTGCATTACTGCCTGAGATCTACCTCCTATCAGATCAGCAGTGGTATTCAATTCTCACAGGGGCATGAACCCTATTGTGAAACATGCATGTGAGGGATCTAGGTTGCATCGTGCTCCTTATGAGAATTTAATGCTTATGATCTGAGTTGGAGTTGAGATGGTGATGCTAGTGCTGGGGAACAGCTGCAAATACTGCATTATGGTGAATTGCATAATTACTGCATTATATATTACAATATAATAATAACAAAAAGAAAGTGCACAATAAATGCAATGCACTTGAAACATCCCCAAACCATCTCCCCGCCTCATCTGTGGAAAAACTGTCCTCCATGAAACCAGTCTCCTGTACCAAAAAGGTTGGAGACCACTGCCTCATAGAACTTAGGAGTCTAGAAAAGAACACAGACATATAAACGAGCGATTGTAATATGATCTACAATGTAAAAAGTTATAAGTATAGTGGGACCAGCAGATGGCATAGTAACTAAGGTGCTGGATTCCCACATAGCTGAACTTGATTCAAGTCCCAGACATAGCAGCTTGAAATTCGCGCTGAGCGTATGTGCATGCATGTTCAAAAATCCCAAGAAAGGAGAATGGAGGAGAAAGGACTGTGGCATAGCTATCCCCCCGTGGGGGTGATTTCTCATTCTGTCCCTCTGTTGAATGCTCACGTCCTATAGCAAAAGTCACTCTAAAAATATTAAGTATATGGTGCTAAGTGGTAGAGAGGCTCAAAGGAAAGAGACCTAAGAGTCTTGCGGAATCAAAAGATGACTTCCTAAAAGAAGTCATATCTAAAATGAGACCTTCTGTAGACACCTGCAGCCACAGTTCTTCCTTCAACAGAACAGAAAACCTCCATATTGGAAAAATCACTGTGATAATGACAACACCGATATGAAATTGGAACTTTTTTACTATCAAGTCTACTGAACATATTTACTCATGCCACTTTGCTAAAGAACCTGCATGGTTCACTAGCTTCCAGAATGAAGTCCACACCTTTGAGCGAGGCTCTCTGAACTATTCCCCAATTACCTTCCCAAGGACATCTCTGTCCTGTCATCAGCATGCACCACGGCCTCCAACTACATTGGACTTTTTACGGTTAACCAGCTTATCAGATTCTGTTTCCAAGCCTTTGTGCTACGTCTCTGCTAGAAAAGCCTCTTCCATAGTGCTCCTCATTGATAGTGCCAACTTCCTCCTCTTCCATGTTCACAATGTACCTCATTTTTTTTCTTTAAGGTTTTTGCTATAGGGCACGTGCACTCACCAGAGAGACAGAGAGATACAGTGAGAGGAAAAGTGAGAAATGCCCTTCCAGTGGGATAGCCACACCTCAATCCCTTCTCCAGTCTCCTCTTGGAATTGTGGGCACATGTGCGCACACACGTGTGCACACACACACACACACACACAGCATGAATTTCAAACTGCCAGATCTGGGACGTGAACTGCAATTGGCCATGTGGGAATCCAGCACCCCAACACTACACCACCTGCTGGCTTCCAGAAGGTACCTCATTTGGGTTCATCTGTACCTAGTTTCTACCCCATCACAGCACTGATTAGTCCCCTCTGTGTTCTACTGTAACCCATCTGTTTGATCTGCTCTCCCTCAGAGACATCTTTTTTTTTTTTTTTTTTGAGAGATTTTCACTGGAGGGCGCGTGCGCTCGCCAGACAGACAGAGAGAGACATAGATAGAGACAGAAAGCGAGAAATCACCCCCCAGGGGGAATGGTCACACCGCAATCCCTTCTCCTCCATTCCCCTTTCGGGATCTTGGGCACGCATACACATGTGCCTGGCGTGAGTTTTAAGCCACTGGGTCCGGGACGCGAACCGTGGTCGACTACATGAGAGTCCAGCAACATAGCCATTACGCTAACTGCTGGTTCCCCAGAGACATCTTTTTCAGTCCCTGTCAAACATCCCAGCTAACTCCTCCCTCAGGGTCCCTGCATTTGCTATTTTAGATGCCTGGAAAACACCACACGTGCCCCTAACACCAATAGATAATTGCAAAGACTCACTTCTTCACTTCCTGTAAATCTACTGAAATAACTTACTCAGGGCTAGCAAGTGGTGTGGTGGTTAAGGCACTGGACAGCCCATATGACTGACCACAGTTTGAGTCCCAGACCTGGTGGCTTGCTTTTTCACTTTCTCTCTCTCTCATCAAACTAAAATAAATGAATGGGGGCCATGAGGTAGCATGATGGTTAAGGATGCTGAACTCCCACATGGCTACTCATCATTCGAGTCCCAGACCTGGCGGTTTGCTTTCTCTCTCTCTGGCTCTCGCTCTCTCTCTCTCTCTCTCTGTCCCTCTCTGGTCAAGTTAAAATAAGTAGATAAAGTTAAAAATTAAATAATTCTTTTAAAAAAAGATATGAGAAGTGACTTCCTAATTCATTCTGAGAGGCCAGCATTTTCTGATACAAAAATAAATAAATAAATTTTAAAAATTAAAATAAATAATTCTTTTTAAAAAGAAGAGGGCTGGCAGGTGGTGTGGTGATTAAGGGCACTGGACTCCTACATGGCCAAGCACGGTTCAAGTCCCAGACCTGGCAGTTTGCTTTCTTACTTTCCCTCTTTCTCACTCTGAACCTCCCTGCGCAAACTAAAATAATTAAATAAAGTTAAATTTAAAAATTCTTTAAAAAAAAGATTCATTAAAAAAAAAAAATAGCGTGCTCTAGCAAAGTATCCCATCAGTCCTCAGTTTTATTTCAATCTTTTGGTCAGTTTTATTACTTTTGGTCAGTTTTATCTTATTCTTTTTTTAATATCAGAGATAATACGTACATAAAAGAGAGGCAGAGAAAGCACAGCATTGTGGAGCCTGATCACATCACAATCCTTTTTCTCCTAATTCCCTATCCCTGCAGAATCCAGGAGTCAAGTCTGACTGGGAGTGTCCCTCAAGCACTGGGAGGGCTCCAGTGCCCTGGGCTACCACACGAGACCTGGCTTCCTCTGTGTGGCAGTCTGTACTATGGGACTGACCCACCATTATTTTTTATTTATATTACTTATTATATCAGACATAAGAGTTGTTCTCAATAAACATTCTAAGTATGTGGAAACACTTGTCTGGTTAACCCTTTATTTATTTATGCATGTTTTAGAATGATTTTATTTAACTTTATTTATTTACTTATTTTAACTTGACCAGAGAGGGACAGAGAGAGAGAAAAAGAGCAGAGGAAAGTGAGAAAGCAAACTGCCTGGTACAGGACTCGAACCACAGGCAGCCACGTGGGAGTCCAGCACCCTTAACCACCGCCACCTGCCAGCCCCTTACTCTTTATCTTTAAATCTAGAATACCGAGCATGCAAAAGTCTAAATAAGGTTTTGTTGATAAATAAGAGAGAACTTCGAAAAGTTCGTGGAAAAAACTCTTGAGGCACAACTTTATTTTCATGTAAAAAAATTTGAACTCCACACATAGAGTTTACATAACTTACATAACGCAGGTTTTCCACGAACTTTTTGAATCCCTTCCCCATTTATTGAATAAATAATGAAGTGAACTAACATCCATCTGGATTCTTTATGGCTGGGAAGCGTAGGAGAGCATTTTCACTCGAGCACAAAGGCGTCAGGGGCTTGGGAGGGGGTCGGGCTGAGGGACTGGCCTGGTACCTGTCCACCGCCCTCCGGGAAAAGCAGCGTGTCCTCCAGCACCACGTTGAAACCGCTCAGCACTTCCTTCTTGCCATTACTCCCTTCGGTCTGCAACTCCGCGGGACTGCAGGACACCACGGTGGTGCTGAACTGGACACCGAGGAATGGGAGAATAAATAAGCCCCGACCCCAGCTGTTGCCGCACAGAGGCTGAATCCCATCCCGTTAGTCCCTCCACGCAGTGCCCTAGTCCCCATACCGCCCCGTTGGCCCGGCAGCTTGGAGTCCCTCCCGCGACAGATCGCACCTCCCGGGCGTAACTGTCCCGCTGACACCGGAACGCCATCGCTGCTGTCTCTAAAGAAGCCGGGACTCTCACATGCCGAACAGCCTAGGAAAGGACGGGGAGCGACGTGGGACAAACTTTATTAAGGGCGCGTATCTGCGCCGAAGCAAGACGACGGGCTATGGTTTGGACACACTTAATGAAAACGCGAATCGCAGTTCTGAGTTGGTTAACAACTGTTTTAAGACTTTGAAAAGGAACAGAAAACAGGACAAAACCAAAACTGCGGCCCGGATTTGTCAACGCACATAGTTTAGCTCCATTGGACTGCAGGGATATAGGTACATTATTCCCACGGAACCCCAGGCACGTAGAGATGGGTGGTACAGGTTTGGATACAGAACTGCCCTGCCCAATAGAAATACCACACAAGGCATGTGTGTTAATATTTTTTAATAAAGTGATTTTTTTAAAGAATTATTTTATTGAACTTTATTTATTTAATTAAATTATTCATTTTGGGGCTGGCAAGTGGCATGGTGGTTAAAGGCGCTGGGCTCCCACATGTTCCACCACGGTTCAAGTCTCGGACCTGGTGGTTTGCTTTCTCACTTCCTCTCTCTCTCTGTCTCTCTCTGATCAAACTGGAAAATAATAATGATAATAATAATAAAGTTTAATAAAATAATTGTTTAAAAAATATTCATTTTAATTTGACCAAGGAAGGATAAAGAGAGAGAAGTGAGAGAGCAAGCCACCAGCTCCAGGAATCGAACCGCGATCGTCCACGTAGAAGTCCAGTGCCCTTAACCATCATGCCACCTGCCAGCCCCCCAACGTTAGTTTTAAGCTGCTGGATCCAAGACTCAAACCACAGTCAACTATGTGGAAGT